TCCAGCTTTCCCGATTTTGCTTCCCCTCTTTTCCATGCATCACTCGTGTGTGTTCCTGCAGTGGTGACTGAAGTCTGTCTCTCTCTCTCTCTCTCTGTCCCACACACATTTACCCGAATCCCAGAGCCACCTGCCACCAAGCCTACAGGCAGCTGGTGGAAGGCTCCGCCCTTGTGCCTCTGATGGTAGGGAAGGTGGTGGGGGCGGGTGGTTAGGTCTGCCCGGACTGCGGCGTCTCCGGCACCCAGGCTGGTACCTGCACGTACGAATTATCTTCTCTCAATTTCTCATTGGACAGAACGTCCTTTATTTTCTGTTTTTTTTCTGGCATGGAGAAAAAGAAAAAACAAAAGCAGGTGAACTCGGAGGTCAATTTCCGTCCTCCTGGTGGGCACGGTGGGGACTCAGTTTTCCCATCTATAAAATGGGGGCGGCTAGAATTCCTAACAGGTAGGTTTGTTGTGCGCAGCCGGGAGGCACGCGCCTTAACGAACGTATTTTCTCAGCGCGAGTTCTCCTTAAAGGTGTGGCTCTCACCCCCTTAAATTATCTCCAAAAAATTCCCATCCAGCGAACGGCAAACAGAGGTCTAACCGTTGCCTGATGCAACACGACATACTACGGACACGACGTAAAAACTCTCAGCCGTGACTTACTGACCTCTGACGCCAGCCCCTATCTGTGGACTTTCATGCGGGTCCTCAAACACATTTCACTTTCTCCTGCCTCTGAGCCTTCGCATTGACGGTTCCCTCTGTCTGAGCTACCTCTCTTCCCCTCAACCCGCCACCCCACTGGGTGAACTCCTGCTCATTCGTCATGCTCCTGCCTGCTCCTTGCCTCCTCCAGGAAGTCTTCCTCGGACTCCTCCCAGATACCCTCCAGCCCCCGTGCTGCGGCCGTTTTCCTGACTCGCTTCCCCAGGACTGCGGGCCGTTGCAGCAGCAGCAGGGAGCTCGTCTGCCCTGTTCACACAGCACCCCTGGCCCGGAGCACAATGTCTGGTGCACAGCAGGTGCTCAGAGGACAGGTGTTCTAGGTGCCCCCACCTGGCAACAGGAGGCCACGCGAAGGCAGAGAAAGGACCCCGGGTGGAAACGCAAGGCACAGCCAACTTACTCTTGACCCCTTCAAATAGCAGAGCCTCGCCGTGGCCCTCCTTCAGCTGCTCCTGGAACAGCCTGTAGCAGGACCTGGGGCTGGCGAGGAGCAGCCGGAAGCCCTGGAGGCATGAAACGCTGGGGTCAGAGGTCAGCTTTGCCCCTGGGGCTCCCAGAGGGGCGGGCTTGGACCCAGGCTGGCCCCCTCCTGGGGTTGAGGGAAAGCTAGTCTGGCACGTGAGGCCAGGCCCCCGCCCCCAGGCAGAGCGCGGAGCAAAACCCGGGAGCCCAGGGCGGAGGTGTGTGCCTTCCTCCAGGCAGTCCCCCACACTGCACCTTGTGCACCGGGACGAAGCTCAGGAATTCGTCCACGTGGCCCACAAAGAGCCAGTCGGAGTAGAGCTTCACGGGCGCCTGCACCTGCTGGGCGCTGAGGAAGTCTTGCAAGGCCTGGTGCATCTCCTGGCTCTCCTTGCTGCCGACACAGGATGAAGGGGGCGTTATGGGGGGCGGGGGGCAACAGGGAGATCTCCGAGGACCTGGAGGCTGGGCAAAGGGGTCGGGGGTCTTCTTCAGCTAGGGAAGGGATTCAGAAGCCTGGACGCCTTTAACTGTCTCCGCAAACACCGGGGGACTTTACGAATTGCCATCCCGGTTGTGTTGGGGGAAACTGAGGCACCGAGTCAGTATGGCAAATAAAGACCAGAGCTTAGCCTCGGGAAGCAAAACCCACTGGCTCAGCCCAGATGCTGGCGTTGTGGGTAAACATGGCTCACAATTCCGTGGAGAGCCGGTCCCGTCTGAGCGGATGATCTCTGATTAGCTGTGTGGCCTTGGGGACATTCCTTCACCTCTCTGGGCTTCAGTTTCCTCCTCGCTCTGGCCTCCATGGTCCTTCCTGATCTAGCCCTTTGCTCTCTCTCAATGTGCTCTAGCCCCTCTGGCCTTCTTGAACACACCCAGTTCAGTCCTGCCTCAGGGCCTTGGCACATGCTCTTTCGGCTGCCAGGAGCCCTCTGTCCCAGATCTCCACGCAGCCATGTCCTTACTGCCATCAGGCCTTCGCTCAAGAGCTGCCTTCTCAGCGAGGCCTTCCCCGACGACCCCCACAGTTCCCAAGTCCCTGGGGTCTGTTGAGGCCCTGGGGTCGGAAGCAAGTAGGGAGGGCTTCCACCGTGGCCCTGGGGCCACCCCTCGCCGCCCCTCCCCTCCTCACCTGGGGTAGCAGCTGCTCCCAATGAGGATCCTGCCCAGAGGGTATTTCTTCCTCCCAACCTTGACCGGGGGGCTCACTTCCAGGTTACCAAAGGAGTCGAGGTCAGAAACCTCTCCTGTTTGGGGCCCTCGAGTCACGTAGCCAAAATCCGGACCCTGGGATGGGAGAAGCATGTACCAAGCGTTAGAGAACACAGTCCCCGCGTGAGGAGAGGCGGGAACCGAGTCACGGGAAGGATTCGGGAGCGGTCAGCGGCCTGTACAGCCCAGGCACCGCTGTC